TATGCCTCTTTACCCTTTCTGAATCCATGTTTAGTGCATGTTGAATTGGTCGTATATAGACTCTTCATTGACCTGATTTTTCTTTAATATTCAGGGGTGAATATGTCCCCTAATTGGGATAAGCTTTCTTCCACTCCCAAAGCATATTATTATCTCTAAACCCCCAGCATCCCTCAGTTTGGGAAAGTTAGCATATAGTACTTCCTGGAATTCATCCGGATTTATACTGTTATGTACTGTTATTTTATTTTCACCAAGCCCAGCTTCTGCTAGTTGTTGCTTTTGCCAACATTTTGAGAATGTTGAGAAAAACATATGTTTTTCTCAATTCAGGCAATGTATAATTTGGGAAATTCAGTGACCTTTCATAATAGTAATAAACAGGTATGTATTCGGGAAAATAAATAAAATGAAATATTAAATTTAAATTCTTACATAAAATATACATATGAATTATAAGTCACTTTATGATAGATACAATACACAGGTACAAATAGGCCTACCTGTTTGTCTACAATTTATTCTTAGTCGGTGCCTATCACCAATTGTTGTCACACTCAAATTTTCAAGTTGGGCATCTGACAGCGCGCAGATTTCGTCACTGGTAATCTGAAAAGAATAACGCAGAGAATAAGTCTTTGACACATACAATGCAGCACCCCTACACACAAACACAAGTTGGCTTTTACAAGGAGTTCATGAGAATTTAAAAAAAATCAACTTCAATTAAAATTTTTAAGTCACTTAAAAAATACATTTTTGGCCCTTTATTAGTCATTTGTGTTTGGTTGTAAAATAATTAATAACCTGTCAAATAACGTCCTGCCATAGGCCTATGGGCTACGCCTGCTAACTATCAATTAGTCCAGGTCGTGGCCCACGCCTGTAACCTAGGCCCAGGCCTAGTTCATATTTATTAAGTAAACAAAAATGGGGAGTTGTGATGCTTAATTATAAAATCTATGGCAATGTCAGAAACCTAATTTAACGTCAGTGATATATGACAAGGCCTAGGCCCTGATGTTACAGAATATTCTCGGCCCCACCCCTAACTAGGCCTAACCCCACCCCCTAAAACATATAGTAACATTAGGTCCCTATGGCCAAGAAGCCCTAGTACCCCACATGCATGCGTGCCTCGTCAGTTGTCATCTCTCCGGCAGTGAAAACCGGCCAGGCAGGACCCTTGGCCTCTTATCATTTGATGATAAATCATTAGGCCTAGGCCTATACTATTATTTATTTCTGTATTATTGTTGCTATTATTAATATAAAAATAATAATACCTTCTCCTTTTCGAAATTCTCCAGAAGATGCTTTAAATGAAGTTAATTAAGTACATCTTTAATAGGCCTAGGTCTAGTAGGCCTAGGCCTATTAGTACCATGGTGCCATGGATGGTACGGCGTTGCGATTAAACTTGTATAGGCTCATTCCCACAGCCTTATCTATACTATTATTTATTTCTGTATTATTGTTGCTATTATTAATATAAAAATAATAATACCTTCTCCTTTTCGAAATTCTCCAGAAGATGCATTAAATGAAGTTAATTAAGTACATCTTTAATAGGCCTAGGTCCAGTAGGCCTAGGCCTATTAGTACCATGGTGCCATGGATGGTACGGCGTTGCGATTAAACTTGTATAGGCTCATTCCCACAGCCGCTCAAATTTTTCATTTGACCCAATGTCGAAGGTTATATTTTATTTATAATTGCGCCGAATGTTTATGCACTGAATGGTAACAGAGTCGAACGTAATGGTAAAAGAGCCGAATGTAAATGTGCCGAATGGTGAAAGGGCCGAATGAAAATGCTCTGAATGGTAAAAGAGCCGAACGTAATGGTAA